GTTGTTGTTGTTGGCTTTGGCAGTAGTGACTGCACTATTATCGTAAATCCATCAGCGACCAAATTTGTGACAGGCTTTGACAAATTTTTAAGGCCCTCAAAGGAAAAATGCCGCCAAAAGGCAACTGTGCAACGGTTGAGTTGTTGCTTTTTGCTTTGGCAGGGTTGCCAACAGGACAATGGTTGGCTTACTATTGCCTCATATATGTAATGAAAGTATAAGTAAATATTTGTGAAAATGTATGCTTGCGCTCAAATGCCGATAAGGAAGTCGTAAATTCAATATATATTTTGCTTTGAGTAGGGCAAACGACGGCAAGGACCTAAAAACAATTGCTCAGTGGTCTGCAGAATTGCTCAGTTATGTATGTGGAACCCAGCAGAGAAAACCATCTAGTTCTGTACTGGCCAGCTAAAAATTTTGCTTTCAATTGAACTGGTATTTTCAGCTTGGATATGGCTTACGAAACGCATCTGCCAGTTAATGAATAAGTCAGCGTCGGCATCGGCATCATAATTCTACTAGTTCCAAAAACTTTCATCTTGTTGGTAAACTTACGCTATTTTCTCGATCGCAGCCATGTGGAGTTCCATAATGTTACAAAGAGGCAATTTACGTAATCAGATAACTACCGGCTTTTGGACATGATGAGGGTGGACTTGGGTTGCTCTGCTTCACTTGTGGCACTACTTTTGACAATGCAGGTTGGACCGAGTTCTATAGCTACTTAGTGATTATTTATGTTTCATTGTTTTCGTCTATGATGCCTGTGATATTCCGATCTTTTGCTATCGCTGCAAAGGTTCGACCTCCGACTCCGTGCGTTTTGACAAATTTCATCGATGTTACTGAAGTTTTGTTCAATGCTCGTGGGTCTTTAGCGACCTTCACCTTTCCAAATTTATTCTGTGACTAAATCCAAACTGATTGAACTCATCCATAAAATGTACTTCTGCACATGTACGAGCCCCTTCTGATCCCTCTGATCGGTGAGACGAGGATCGATACCTTGGAGTGGTTTGATAGCTTTAGGCAGGTGCGCTCTGATGAAGCTCTTGGACCAACTGCAGGTAATCAAGTTGATTCGGTGCCCATCCACAGCAATATAAACATACGCTATACGCTGGATGGTGGGCTACTGAAAACACAGGAATCTCAGTACTTTCCCTTCAGACCCCTCGGTTTGTTACATTTCTGTGTGGGAAACTATTCTTTGGTTTTGTCCTTCCAGGGTGCTATGATATTAAAGCGGGTGAATGGGGTTGCAAACTGCTATGTGCTATAGTTTAAGGCTATATGTATCTTAGGAGAGCTGCGCGTAGCGGACACCATAGTTGGCCTTAGGAGTGGCGTAGAAATGGAGTCAACCGACAGATATGAATCCCTATCCGAATCATTCGGTTGGTTACTGGATTTTTGTACGGTCCCAAGGGCTCTAAAATAAATAAGGTAAAAGGTTTGTGTCTTAAGGTAAGCTTGCGAAAAGCTTTTCATAAAGTATTTATCAGGAACAAAGCCATTGTTAGCTAATGTCTCTTGGTGCGAACTTCTTCAATATTTTGATGAACCTAATTTTGCCATTACGAACCATAGAATATTTGGTCTAATTTCCTTTCTCGATTTCATAATTTATTCTATCAGCCAAGTAAAAAATAGAACACAGAAAAGGTATTGACGAGGTAGCCTTACTTAACCCATTAATGACAGAAACCTAAAAGTGGATAGATTTTGTTGAAATTTTGTTTAGAGACTATATTTAGCCTCTTAAATTGACAAAAAGTTTTTTTGTTTTTTTTTGTGCGTGGGGTTAAGACAGACTGGGCAGTTACATATACGTAACGTTGGTCACTTCCATACGAATTGTGCGAATGAACAGCAAGTATGTATATACTTTCATTTATTAAAAATAAATAGCACTTTTATTTCTAAAACAAATTAAAAGTAACTCAAAATAATCCATTTTATATAAAAAGGCTCATATTGATTTTTCTTTGAATAAAGTAACATAAAAAATAAACGGGCAAATAAGTGGTACATGGCTTACAAGTAAACAAAAAATAAACTGTAATGTTTAGTTTATAGCTATAAAGTGATAATGTTGAAAGCAATCAACGCACAATCCAACATTACATTTTACACATTCTGTTGTAACACTAGATTTGCAATTGGAGCCTTGACATCTTCGTCTCTTTCCAAGTGGAATTCTTGCTATGAAATGCGCCTGGCAGTCATATCGTGAATTTTCAAATTCGGTATCAATTTTTGGTCGACGATAACCGCCAGGTGGTTTCGCAACACCGAGAGTTCTGCAATAATATCTAGCAGTGGATTGGCGGAATTGAAGTTGAGACATATTGCCTCCACCTTTGCGATGTAGGATCCAAGCATTCTGCATAGAGACGTCAACAAGCCAAGTAAAAATTGATGACCACCACTTTCTTACTCTGGCTGATATGCGATAAGTGCAGACGTTTTGATCCATTCGGTCTGTTCCACCCATGAAGCTATTGTAACGACTAATTGCCAAAGGACGTGGAACATCTATCTTTTTACGCACTTCACGGGAGTATCTCGGAACAGTTGATATAGGATGTATGCCGTATATTGTAGACGCTACTGTGACAATGGAATTATCGTTCCATTTGGTGAAGTAAATATCCGCCTTTTCCAATTTCACACCGTCTGTCCACCCACGTTCAACTTTCATTTTGATGAGTTCCTTTTTGGATGGAAGAATACAAGATTTCGGAACATAGTTCTCACGAATGGTTCCTGTACCTTCGTAGCCTCTTTCTTTCAATCCCAAGAGGACGTTTCCATTTGTAAACAAATTGTCGAAATGGATCGAGAAAGGATACTGTTTCACCTCTTCATCAAACTCGTCCAGCATACAGAAGAGCGGTGCTGTTGGTTTCGGATACTTTTCTATGTACGCTGGGTTGATCCTCGGATTTGAACCTTGGTACATCTCGAAATTTATCAAGTAGCCTTGAGGTGTGTTTAGCGACCACATTTTATAGCCGAATCGCACAGGCTTTCCTCTTATGAACTGCTTACAAGTATTCCACCATACTTTCATCGTAAGAGAGATGTTGCTCTGGGACAAAGTTCTTTCGGAAGCGTTCTTTCAGTTTGTCGGTGAGTGGACGAAGCTTCCATATTTTGTCTTTCTCATCATACTGAGACATGTCCGCAAAATGTAGGTTGGTGTGTATCGTTTCGAAACGATGGCGTCTCATGGCTTCTTGAATCATACGACTACCCATGTCATCTTCCTCAGACCAGTAATCCCTTTTGGCAGGGGCAGGACGATATCCAGTTACAATGAGAATCCCCAGAAATACTCGCATTTCTTGGGGTGTAATTGCTGGGCTGGGCTTGTTTGGATCCTTGAACAAGCATATTTATTAGTTTGATCACACAGCAAATTGACTACTTCATCATCGAAGAATTTTTCAAAAAATGTGTAAGGTGCAATATCATATGCCGTTGGATAGACCAAATCGGGGAAAATGTTCAGTGGTCTGGCATATTCCTCTTGTGCAACCCAATTCAAGTCTTTATTCATAATCGCTCGTGACCGTGTTTGCTTCATTGAAGCGACTGGAACTGGTTGACTTTTTTTTGCCGTTTTGCTGGAGGTTTTGTGATTCTCGGTGGCGTACGACGTGGCAGTTTCGGTGGAGTTAATCGCACATACGATTCAGGAAGTTTTTGTGGAGTTGATTCAGGTGATGTTGCCACTTGTTCAAAAGGAGGTGTCATTTGTTGCGAACTTGTCGCCATTTCCACAACAAGAGGTGTAGTTTGATGAGAGCTTGTTGCCACTTCAACGGGATTTGATGCAGTGTATTGCGAAGTTTCAGTCATCGATGTATTGTTCTTATAAGATGATGTTGTAGGCAATCCTTTTTTCAAACGAGGAGGTGTTTCAAGAAGGTTCGTTTCCACATTCGACGAAGAATGTTCCAGCACATCCTTGATGTATTTTGCCAGCTCATCTTCAGCTACATGATTATCTTCTTCGAAGTCATCGTCGAACGTTCCTGCATATACCACTTCACAATTAGTCATCCTCTGTCTTTTAGATAAATTTCTCGATGTCCCTCCTTCATCTTCATTTGAGGAATCCTCGTCTGAAAAATTTTCTTCATCCGGTGGCTCTAAAAATATCTTCTCTATGGCACGTTCATCGTCACTTTGTGTTTCTAGCAGCTCAAGGATCTCTTCAGTGCGTAAAACATCACTTAAATAAATAAAAACGAAGCAAAGAAAAATATAAGGGCACTTGTTATAGTAGTGACCAACGTTACGTATATGTAACGCTGACTTTTAAAGGTGTAAACACAAAGAAAATCCACAATATTTTTTTGTTTTGGTTTTTTAATTTTTCGTTATCACAGCACTGAATAAACCTGCACGAAAACTCTCCCTAAAAAGTGAAAAAACCTTTGAAAACAATTACTTACATTTTGCGCTTTCTCATAACTGCAAAAAAAGGGCACACAAGAAAATCACACAAACTATAAACTTCTATTCACTTCGGTGGTTCTCAGTAAACTGATCCCACCACGCTTCGTCGTAAAGTTTATGCATACACTCTCGTATTGACGTACGCATAAATCCAATTATAGTCGTTCAAAGTTATTTTCGTGTATGATTATCTAAATCTATGTTACTGTTACATATATGTAACGTTAGTCACTAATGGGTTAAGATACAAACGTCGATAGCCTGGCCATTAATCTCGATTGTAAGTATTCTTTGAATCAAGCACTTCAGCGATCTGTAGCTGAGTATCTCGATAGGCGTTAGTAAAAAAAACATGAACAAATTACTGGGATACTCGTTGAGAGGTACGCATCAATATATAAATTTGTATGTTTTTTTGCTTATATTTTATGGCATCTACTTCTTAGTTATTTATAATAAGTTATTTAGTTAAAAATTAAAAACACACTACCGTTTTTGATTTTCACTGACCCATGTCTTCTTTTCAGTATCTCTCAGCTGGCGGTGCGCTCTCAACTCTACATCCCATATCGCAATCGCCCATTGCTGCTACAACGCCCGCTCACCCGCCCGCCTCGATCAGTCCACCATCCAATGGACACGACAGCAATGTTAGTAGTACCGGTGGCAATGATCATAATAGCGGTACATTAACACCAGATCCAGCTTCGCAGCCCTCCAACCATGACAGACCTTGTGCGGCCGGTAGTAGCGGCAGCGCTAGTGGTAGCATCGACAGTGGTTCTCTTGAGCCGTATGCCACATGTCCAACGGCCGGTACAATGGCGAGCATACCACAACCGCAACAACACCCGCTCGCCTCTACTGCAATTTGCTGTGATAATGGACGACCTGTAATGACAGATCCGATGACGGGGCAAACGGTTTGTTCGTGTCAATATGATCCAACCCGTTTGGCGTTAAGTAGTTATGCGCGTATGCAATCGGCGGCAGCAGTGGCAGCATCAGCAGCGGGCGCTCAAACGCCCACTGTGGGCGTATACGGTACTCCATATCCTTCGAACGAACAGAACCCGTATCCCAGTATTAGTGTGGACAGTGGACCGTTTTACTCGAGTTTGGTAAGCTATTTTTAAAGATACATAGTTAATTATTCTTTATAGGTAAACTAAGTATGCTTATATGAAGAATTCCTGTAATACGCTACAAGTTAGACGCTTTTCTTCTTTGTTTTCAATTGTACCACTCAGCCGCCTATTTCGGCTTCAGCAATTTAAGTCTAAAATAGGATAGTCAGTTTGATACTTTTGCTCTCTAATGCCTGACGGTGTTTTCGAGTGCTCGCCCTAGGCCGAAGAATGTCTAAAGCACCGATTCTCCATGCTCGAAAGAACTCTGGACTTTATTAGTCAAACGGTAGCTGATATGAAACTTAAAGCCTTGTGATGAAGAACCGTAATCATTTGGTCTTTAAACACGTATGAATAGCTGTATTCTTTTGGTATATTTGCGCTCTTTTCCAAGCCAAGCTTACGTTCATGCATACATACATATATACCATATATATAAGTTCCACGTGCACACCGTACATATATTGACTATCGGAATACATATATATGTATGTATGTATGTCTGTATGTTGAAATAAATTCACTTCCGCTCTTTTCAGATCTGCCATTTACATGCGGTTTGTTGTCTATTTCTTGCTTTATTGCATTTGTTTTTATTTTTATTTTCGCTTTCGAATTTGTTTTCCATATTTGTCGTTTCTGTGTGTCGTATTTTGTGTACATTTGTTTTTGTTACTTTGCGGGCATTTGTGGCTAATTCTGGCGCACACCATCACCCCTCAACTAAACAACAACAAACAACTTGCTATGCCAACGCCAAAGCCAACGCCAACGCCATTGTCCACACAGTCACATTCTGGGGCAAATGTCTGCAGAGCCAGTGAAATGTCACTGTCATTTTGTTTGCTGTTTTTGCTTTTGTTTTTAATATGAGGTCCCTACATAGTTTGCATGTTGTTGTTCTTGTTGTTTGTTTTGCTGCGCTTTTGCTTAATATAATCGCACATTTTACTCACACTACTTGAATGTTTGTGTACACATCTCTATATATATGTATGTCAGTATGTACATATGTATGTATTTATGCTGTCTGTCTGCGCGGTTTATTGTTGGTGTACTTTTCTTGTTCGACAGCGGTTTGCGGATTTGCATTTCGCATTTCGCATTTTCCATTTCCACTAATTTTGCTTTGTTTGGATTTTCCTCGTTCGCTCGACTTTGCTTTGCATTAGAAATAAATACCATTTGTTGCAAGTTGAAGGTTTATGCTTCACGGAGCTTTTATGCCATTGACGTTGTTATTACGGCTTTCATTATTACCATTATTGTTCACTGTTGTTTTTATTACACTTTTGTTTGATTGTTGTTGCATCTAAACGAGTTGTGAGTAGCGTTGCAACTTCTTTTCCTACTGTAAATACATATACCATGCAGGATAAATCTGAACTACAAGACGAACTCTTTATTCAGAATTGGTTATTTAGACTTCAAATATGAACTAGTCTTACAGTTGCCGTTGGTTTTTATAATCGTTATTTATATCGGACTTATTGTTATCAGTTTCGTTACATTTAACGTTAACGTTATCGTTATCCATTATTATCGTTAATTCACACACATCGTTATCGTTTCGTACTTACACATTGTAGGTTACCAGCTTTTAAAAACTTACCACGAATTTCAAATCTGGTGATGATGATGGTTCTCCGATCACTTGAACTCAATCCAAAGTGACGAGAAAAACTCAGCGCTACTGGCACCAGTGCTTCTCACTGCCGCGCATGCATTCCACCTTTTTTTGCATTGCAGCTAGAAGCATTTTGTGTGTCTTCCAGCGCATTGCAGCGTTGCTCAGCTTTGACGATTATTGTTATTGTTTAGTATAGTGTTGTGTTGTTGTTTTAATTGTTATTCTCTTGCCGGTATTATTTACACATAAAAGTCTTATGTGTATACATATTTAGTAGATACTTTTTCCGCCTCTGCTTCGGATGCGTCTGCTGCATCTGCTGTTTTTTTACGCTTCTCAGGTTTCCACTCATCGCTGAACCGCATGAAGCCGAATGAGTAGCTGAGCTTCGATGCCTATCAACTGGCTTCCACCCTCTGTTGGCACTTTTCTAACTAGTATATATGTATGTACGTACCAATGCATAATATTTATGCATCTCGACTTGTTCACATTTTTGTATGTATGTATGTATGTCTATTTGTCTGTATTGTCTTTTCTGATGGCCGTCCGTCCGTCTGTCGGGTTAATGTGCTCATGTTATGACAACAATTATTGTAAATGTCACAAATTAGTTTTGCAATTAGTTTTGCATGTATTGGCGTTGTTGTTGTTGTTGTTGTTGGCTTTATTGTTAATTACGCCATTGTTTTTGTAATGTAACATGATTCCACACATTTTGTTGTGGTTTTGTTTTAAGTTTGTCTCGAGATTATTTCTTTAAGCTTGCTTATAAAATTAAACTCACATTTATACACATACGTATGTATGTACATATGTATCTACTTATCCATACTTATTTGTATTTGTGTATCTGCGTAATCTGTTGGTAATCAACGTAACTGATTATGATTATGTGGGGCTTTCTTCAATGATCATGCGATTTTTAGCGGTTGAGCAATAGAACTTAATACTGGTACATATATATGCTTAAAGTCTTTCACTAGATTATTTGTGGATACTATGAATAATATTTACACAAATAAATGTTTTTTCTACACGACAATTTGCAGCACATTAGGTAAGGACCTGTAGCTTTCTCGTTTCTACCGAAAAATGTTACCTTCTCATTGCCATCGAAGCACAAACACTAATGAAGAAACAAAATTTTTTGTGGAAACGAGAATGCCATTTGCTATCCGTTGTGATACCCTTAATAGGGGAGAGCGAAAAAGGACACAGGGAGTCCGGAAGATGAAGGGAGGGTAGGGGAAGGGTAAGGGACATTTGCAACACCTATTATTTCTTGCACCATAAACGCTCCCTGCTCGCAACGAAGCGCTTCAAGCCAATGTTGTCCATCCCTAAGGTGCTTAAACCTTAGCTTCGCAAAGGCTAGCGACCAGAGTAGCAGGTGTTGAGATGATTCCCCCTCATCATCTTCCATGCAGCGTTTCCTATCATGAGTTCCCACTGATTTTTTATCTAATCGGACTTCCTCACGCAAATTGCAATAAAAAGGCATGGAAGTCCATCTCTGCTAGCTTTAACAGGCTAACTCCAAGGTGTTTCAGCCGCTCTACATTGCTTTTTATTCGCCCTCATCGGGGAAGATGCGGCAGATAAAGTTCTTTGGTACTCACTTCCATTCGAGCAACCGTGATGACACCGTTAAAAAGTAGATGTGGCTTCCAGAGGCCAACTCTCTTAGACCTTGCTGGTCCAAAATTTAGTCCAATAAATAAATAAAATTCCGACTTAAAAAATCGCGTTGAGTTTTGATAATTTTTATTTTGAATGTATTACGCATTTTGTTCCATACAAAAAAAAAAAATTGTCGAACGTACTTTGTATGGAAGAAAATGTGTTAAAAATAATTTTTGCACAAAGTTTTAAATATGAATTAAATGGGTTTAGTTAGAAAAAGAGCTATACTTCTATAAAAAAAAATACATATACATTACTAGCCGGCCTCGTATGAATGTGTAGATATTAAATAAGGTGCGATTGACAACTAAACAGGTTGCAACCCTACTAAAAAATAATCTATAATTGCACATCTGGAGGCCAAGCCCTGTCAGGTATCGTTTCTTGTAATCTAACGAACAGCCCACATTTTTTAATTTTTCGCACAGGCTGCAACCCCCTTCGAAAAATAAAACCTTACTGAAAATATGAAGCTCAAGCCTTTTCCTTTGACACCTCATTTTTTTAATTGAATGAACTGTGCAAATCTAATGCCATTAACAAAAAATGCCCTCGCGTATTATATGTATATACATACTTCATTTTGAAATAGGTGGCAACCCTATAGGAATTTAAAGTACTAAAGATAATATTCCTATCGATACAGATTATATTTAAAAAATCTCGTATAAATCCGTTCAGTAGTTTTTTAGACTAGCGTGGTTAAAATATCTCGACTTTCCTTTATACTATGTATAGAAGATAGTATTTTTTTTAAATAGGTGGCAACCCTATTAAAAAACTAGAGCTTTTTTACATGCGAAGGTCAGGCCCTTTCATTTGATATTTAATTTTATAATGCAACGAACGGCAAAAATCTTTCAACTTTTTAATAGGTGGCAACCCTACTCAGAAAAATAATACATTGTTGCAGAGATTTCTTTATTCAGACATACATCACAAATTGAACTGCATATACCCATGCACACATACATACATGTATAGAAATAACTCACATATGTACATTAGGGTGGTCCTTAAATGTAGGAAGCACGTTTTTACACCAAATTTCCTAAGCCTCAACCCCAATGTCGATGCTACTATAGTCGCAGATATCACATATAAATTTTGGCCCCATTGGAGACGGTTAAGGCGCGTCGCACAGGGGTCAAAGTTCAGATTACCCTATGACGACGTCTTAACCGTCTCCAATGGGGACCAAAATTTATATGTGATATCTATGACAGTGGTGTTGCCGATTGAAGGCGTGAGACTGAAAAAAATCTTTCATTTGATTTTTTTAAGAACCACCCTAATGTTATTATTACGTTTATATCTTATTTATTAACTGCGAGATATGCCGTCAGCGCCATTTGTTGCCTCACAGCGGTGCTTCATGTCACTTGGCTTTGTACCTTTTTGTACAATTTGCAATTTTAAGCGAATGACTTGCAACTAACTCACGGCAACCAAGATGGCATGCTTTACGGCTATTCATCATTGCTAAAGACCTAAAAAAAACATATATAAACACTAATAAATATTTATAGCAACTAGCCGTACTCATTCGTATACGAATGCATACATACATACATACATACATACATACATACATACATACATACATACTTATGCAATAGGCAGGAGTGTGAAGCCAATTGAAGCGCATTGTTCTCGAGTAGTTATGTAGACTAAG